CAAACAAACAAACAAAGCCTTGGTAAAATATAGCGCCACAAAAGAAGAGCTCAGCCGTACTCATTATCGTCTATTGAATCAGACGGCAATGACGGACCCTACCACCATAAACAGCACAACAGTCATCACGGCTCTAGCCGTGCACCAGCCGGGAATCGAACCCGGGTCTGTACCGTGGCAGGGTTCTATTCTACCACTAGACCACTGGTGCATGATTGACTTTGTTGGGTTTTGAAATTATCTTAGAACTTTTTCATATAAAAATGAAGGCCATTCATATCTGTATTTGAAGAAAGAAGGGCACAACACGTATATGGCATGTGGGTTTCCCGTAGGCTTGATTGTTAACGTGACCTTCTATCATTTTCAACATTCGAATACCAATTAATGTCCTTTTGGCTTTCTGTTCTCGTGGTGATTGATGGTACAGTAAGAAAAATAGAGCCTTCTTCTTCTTCTTCTTCTTCTTTTTCCTTTTTTTGTGAACACGGGAGAATTTTGGGTAACAAGGAATATTTTTTCAAGTAGTTGGTGGGAGTCAAACTCCCAACCAACTAAACTCAAGTACTAAGGCTTGGCTTGGAGAAGAATTATTAGACCCGAAGGCCCTGGTTCAAGCCTTCTTCTCAATGTTGAAGCTCTTGATGAGGATTTGTTTAGATACATCTCTTCTAAAAGGTATGTATATCTATGACCAAGATCACATTTGAGCATGCCTAGCTAATTGCTTATATGAAAATTCATGCTGATTTTCTTTAGATCTTCAAATGCATGTATGGCCTCAGCATCAAATCCACCTGCAAACTGCATGTTAGGATCATTGGTCAGCCCCACTCATAACTCTTCAGAATGTTAGGACAAAAAAAATGTTTTGCATATAAATATATAGTTCGAATGTGGATTGTGGAGAGTTCAACATATATATACATACGTACCTGGTGTATTCTATATGAAAATCGAACTCCCTGAAGCAAGAGGTTATCTTCCTGTGAGCACTGATTAGAGCTCAGTGCTTTGGTTATTCTTTTCATGTATTCCTTGGCTAATCGCAACGAACTTAGTTTCAGCTGAATGTCATAAGAATATGGTAATGAAATTTTGTGTCCAGAAAAATGAATGCTAAATTATGACTCCCAATATATTTTTAGTTAGTTATGTGTTACATATGTACCTGGCCAATGATTCCTGTATCTAGCATCCATTCACATGGGATATGGAAATCCCTGTATCTCTTACCGCTACTTTCTCTCATCCTTTCAGTTCTGCTGACACTTTGCTCCAAACTGTAAATTTCACGTTTCATAATGTAATGCAACACCAGTTTTGTACTATTGATTTCAAAGTAGCTAATTGTGGCAACCGCTAGTTTACACAGGCTCACCTGTCTTGCAATGTTTGCATCCTTCTGAGAGCCTGAGTTAGAGAGTCTTTTGGGTTGGCCTCAAACGAGGAGACCTCAGATTCAAGGCTCCTTAGGTCTCGGTAGCTGAAAGCAGCTTCGCGCAGAGCATCTGCTTTCCTCTCTGGCCATTGTGGGAAATGCTTCAGAACTGCCCTTTCATCAACCAGGGAGGATAATTCCTGATCTAGCCATTTCACAAATAATTCTACATCAGATATCTCTTTACAGGCTAGAGATTCTACTTCTTTGATCAAGAAGTTGATGAATGCCTTCTGTTTCTGTACATCTGATTTTATCTGTTCATCAAATAAGCATCTGGTCAGCAAGGAATTCCTTATTTTGCAATCTGGATGATAACTGAATATCAAGAAGTAAATATGTAAATGTTTATACTTACAGCTGAAACATAACTTGAGCGATTCTCAATTTCTCCTATCATGATCTTACTAAATGCAACTGTTGGAGTTGTTGCAGGATTTGTTTTGTTCTCTAACTGGCCATCTTTTCTCATAAGTGAACGATACAACTCCACAACTTCTGGCACACGTCGCACTGATCTAGAACCAGCTAACAACTTTGATGGCAATGGTGGAGGCGGTGGTGCTGGTGCTTTAATTTTCTTACCATTCACTTCAATTTTGTTGCCATTCACTTCCTTGGGTGAAGGGAAGATAATGGCAGCAGGCCCTGGTGGTGGTTTTGGTGCTTTTAGTGGTATTTCCTTCCAGGTTGCAAATTCTTGAATATCTGATGATTTCAGCACTGGTGGCTTCACAATATCTGATGATTTCAGTTGAGACGAGTCTGGATCACCGCTTTCAATAGAGTTCTGTAGCTTCTTCCACAGTATAGATTTTCTCTCATTATCATGTGCTTTGAGAGAAGTGATTTGTGCTTTTAGACGGCTTACTTCCTGTCTTAACTCCTGATTTTCTTTCTCCAGTGAACCATTCGTTGCCAAAGAAGCTTCAAGTTCTCTCCTGAGGCAGGTTATTTCTGATTCCCCATCTTCTAATGGCATTTTCCTCTCCTCTACCGCTAGCATGAGAAGAGTGAGAAAAAGAGCTGGAATCACATCAAATGTCTGATATTTCTCCTTTTATTTCAGTCTTTTACTTTTGAACCAAGTTATGTATGCTCACCTAAGCCTGTGGGGTGCATACCCTACAAAAAGTGCCTTAATATGCATGTAATGGCAATTTTGACAGAATAAAGGTATTCTAGACAGGGTTGTTTCTGGAATAAATGTGCCAGTTTGGTTCTACTAGGTATAGTGATTATGATGTCCTTAAGACACTCCATTGTGGTTGTCTTCAGCAAGTCAGGTTAGGTGGTCCCTTCTGGTCAAATTTACCTTAAGACACTCATGCTTTTTAGTTAACTGGTATTCCTTCTACTTAATTTCCAATCGTTTCTTAAAACTATAGTAGTATTCACATCTTTTTCAGCCTACCTAGTTTGGTAAGTATGTAGTCAATTAAAAATGGTGATTGCAAATTGCCATCTGCCTTGTTGTGGAGGATTTCCTTCCCAAGCTTCACCATCCAAGTGTTACCTCCCAAGAGGAATCGTTGATGCCCTATGCTATATTTCTTTGCTGTATTGAATCACTTTTGCTAGCTAGGGTTTGCATGTGAAGTAAGGTGAAGAAGAAGAAGAGAAAGGTAAATGAGGACACAGAAGAAATTGACAGAAAAAAGGTTTTGATTACTACATCTTACCAGATTAAGTTCTCCTGTTTTCATTTTGTTTGCTTATTTATTTCCTTTACTTTTACATAAACACACACATCCTCTGCGTTGCTTTTAGTAAAAGCTGGGACTGTCAAGCTTTATTCATAGCTCTAATTCCTTTCCTTTTTTTAATCTCAGATTGTTAGATCTGCTAATAGCTGTTTCAATCAATGTTCTGTTCATTGATACTGTTTCATTCAGTGTTAATTGGTAAGTTTTGTTTTCGGTGGTGGTTGAATCAGAGAGTAATTACAAGTTTTCATTATTACTTTTATGGCTGCAATGACCAAAAAAATAAAAAATCAAAACTCTACTTTCTTTTCAAGTTGAAATCAACTTAAAAAGAAAGCATGTACATGGGGTAGTGACCAGTCAAGAGGGAAGTGAGAGTATGTCTCACAAATTAGGGTGAAGGAAAGGCACTAAAGTATTAAAGTTGTCTTCTTTCTTCCTGTAATTTAAAGAAAATCAGAATATACAGAAACATTAGTTATGCTATAAAGTTTAATGATAAAGCTATACAAAAATCTCTGTCCTGCATTCTTTTTTGGTAATATGCAGTTTCTTTTATTCATGTTAGACATAGTAAATCATACCAACCTCTAGCAATGAAGTATGAGGTACATTAAGAACATCTGGTTCTCTACAATTCTTGCTCAAGAAAGCAAAGACGACATTTATTGCAAATTTCTTGAGAAAAGAAGATGATTTCTTTGCCTTTGCGTAAGAATGGCCCAGAATGAAAGCAACACCAGATTCTTTGGCTTTCAGTATCTGCAGAGACTCATCTTTAAGCTGAGAGTTTCCCAGATGTTCCATAGCAGGTTTTCTTACTAAGATATGATAAGCAGACTCTTCCATCTCCTTCTGATGATTTGACTTTGTTGAAGCGTGCTCTTGAGCATCAAAGGCTTCATTTTTAAACTTTCCAAGCTCTTCAGAAGATTCAGAAAGCAGTTCTGAAGCGTAATTTCCTTCTGATTCCACAAATTGTATTATCCCAGACACCAGTCTGTTCTCAAAGTCATAGTTTTCCTGCTGCAGATCCTTGTAACCATACCTCACAATGCACCGGAACATGCCATACTCCTTTGGACCTACCCTATTAATGAGCAGCCTTTCTTCTTCTCTTACATGGGGAACTTGAACGGATTTGACACAAACAAAAACCAGAACTTGATGGAATGCGGGCAAGTTTGTAACAAAGTGTCCAAAAACAGCAGGAACTCCAGTCACCAGATTACTGTAAACAAGTCCTATTCCAGGCACACGTACCATGCCAAGGCCAGGCCCCAAAGACACTATCCTCTTCATTGAAACCTTGTTCTCCACGTCAAATTCGTGTTTCTTTATTGTTCCATAGTTCCATACATACATTATACCCATAAAGATCAGAGACAGCACCAGTGGGATCCAACCTCCTTCATGAACTTTACAAACAGATGCTGAAATGTAAAGCAGTTCTATGGATCCAAAAAACACTAGGAATGCAACCACACTGATTATCCTTTGCTTCCACACAATTATCATCACCAGTGCCATCAAGCATGTTGTCACAAACATAACTGTAGTGACGGCAAGCCCTACAAAACCAGCAAACCATAACTGTAGTTTGTTTCTGCACATCCATGGGTACTCTAAGATGAATTAACATATTTTGCATTGATCAATGACTGAAATCTATACCATATGCATGACCCATCATGTTAGTGTCCCGCAGTCCTATTGTCACAGCTACACAAAGGCACATTAGTATCCAGTTGACCTCCGGAATATATATCTGTCCATATATCTTACTTGAAGTATGAACAATTTTGACACGGGGAAAGCAATTAAGTGCACAGCATTGGCTTATAATGGAGAAAGTAGCTGATATCACAGCCTGACTTCCTACTACAGCGGCAAAAGTGGCCACAATGAACACTGGCCAAAAGACAGGCTCTGCCAGAAACAGAAAGACATCAATGGAGGAGTCATGCTAGTATGATGTTTTCAATTTGGCACCTAAAATTATAGCTCTTGCCTGGTATCGCTTTGTAGAAGCTCCTCTGAATGTCTTCATGATGCTTAGAGAGGAAAGCAGCCTCACCCATATATGCAAGAATCAAACAGGGATATACCAGAAATGTGAAGGCTACCTGAGGTGTGAATATCAGGTGCAAAAAGTTAGACTTAGTTGAGGTAAGCAAGAATTTTAGTTAATAGTAAGATTCATGTCTGATTACTAAGGTTTAATATTTACCTTTATTGAGATTGAAGAGAAATGGCCCAAATCAGCAAACATTGTCTCCACACCTGAGAAATTAGTCAGAGAAATATAGTATCAATAACTTTGTTTAGAAGCAAGTAACCATATTAATTCATGTACTGGAAATGCAAAAAAGGTACCTGTAATGGAAAGAACAACTCCTCCTAACGAGATCCATCCTTCAGTTCCTGTGCTTTTAAGGAACTTCAGCATGTAAACGGGAGATAGTGCATGGAATATGTGTGGATTCCATCGGAATATATTATATATTCCAATGCTGCTAATGCAAAGAAACCACACTGCAACAATTGGAGCAAACACAAAAGCAACTCTGTGCGTGCCATGATGCTGAAGGGAGAATAGCCCCACGATAATGACACATGAGATCATAACAACATAATCTGAAGATAGAAATCAACTTGATTTACAATAGTTCATGATTGTTTCAAATGGTTTACAAATATGATGACCATAAGACTAAATATGGACTTACTCTCATGAAGTTCTGTGAACTTGAGTTTGACACCTGAAACTGCTGAAAGAACTGAAAGAGGGGACACAAACATATTCTATTGGAACACTCATGATGAGACTGTAGCTTAGAAACCAAACTATCATGAATTGTCACCAAGCTTCAGTTGGACATCAAAGGATAAGATAAACCGAAAACAAGCGCATAAAATTATCAAATGTAGGAAATAAGGCACGTACATAAGAAAAAGTTACCACAAATGGCTACCTGAGATTGTAGGAGTAAGTACTCCATCACTGATTGCCATACACGTCCCTAAAAGAACAAAAATCAAAAGCCACTTTCGAAATCTTGGGCATTTCTCAAAGGACTTTAGAGCAGAGCTCTGCAATGCGTCTCTGGATTCATCCGTTGCATATGCAGACAGTTTTTCATCTGTGGTTTGTTGGTTAGGTAGAATACTTAGTCTTGCATGCCTACACAGCAGGGAATACAGGGCAAAAGTGCCACCTGAACCATAATCAAACAGTTCCATCCAATAAGCCTGTCTCTTAGTCTTTGAGCTTCGAATTAGAAAGCATCTATGGAGCTTATTACAGCTTTTCCTATCGAACTATGTTGCTTTGCATAAGAATAAGATGAAGACTCAGCAACGCTATATCACATGATTACCAAGTAGTAAGTACTCAAATATGGTCACAAAGCCGTACCTTCACCATTGTCATCTGCTGACATCACAATAAAGATGTATTTGAAGAGAGCAATGAGAGTAAATGTCCAAAAGATAAAAGAAAGCACCCCATATATTTCCTCATCATTCTCATGAAGGCTCAACCTCCCAGAGAAGGTGGTCTTGTAAACATAGAGAGGAGAGGTACTCAGGTCACCATAAACCACTCCAAGACTTTGATAAGCTAATGTTACCACTGACATACATGATGTCCTCCTCAAGTTCTGATAAAAAACGGCGATTTATTTATGAGTATGATTAGAAAGATGAAAATAAAGCAATATCTTAAAAGATTAGCTCATCGCAAAAAAAAAAAAAAGGAAGTCAGCAGCTACTTGAACACTCATGAACTGATTCTGTCTTGGAAGCATAATTTAGTCTTAACAATCTTCTGTGGTAAAATATCAGTTCTCTCATCTGTCTGTACCCAAATAATGTAAGTGACAATGGGTGCTAATTGCTAAATGCAGAAAAAAAATTAGAGCACAAAGTCCATTTTCTTCCCCTTTTTTACGTCCGGCACCAAATTGGACACTGTCCAAATTCAGATAAAAGTAAAGTCTACCATGTAAAAGTTTAACATCACATCCTCAATTAATTTCCACCAGGAAA